GATGGGATGTTCAAATGTCTCCTCTTATTGAATGGCCAAAGCTCAGGATGTTACGTAATACGTAAGCTGATAAAAACTGTCTTCTTACCTCTTAATTTAGAGATACAAGCCTAAATGTCAGATTCACAACACTCTGGTTTCCAAAAACTACTCTACTGTAGTGGAATCCTAACATTTCCAAGTTAGTGCTTCATGAATTTCTGCTATTTCTGTAATTAACCAATAAATTCATAATACTGTATTTTGGTAATACAGTTAGTACTGTTTAATTCCCGTTTTGATGATTGACGACAATGGCACACAGTTAATAACCTAATAACCGTTGTCCTCTAACAACGTAAAGACACCATTAGTGGCCTCAGACTACTTGGAATTTGGCTGAAAATCTTTTCTGAAAATATGACATGAAGATTTAGTAACCGAGCAAAACAGAGCACTGAAAGGAGCTCAGGACACTCATCGTACTTTTTGGAAAAGGCTGTTGAAAATTACTACGGCAAAGGAAAGTCAATGAAAATGAAATAACTCAGACAGAGGCCTCAGGTTCAATAGCACGTAGGCCTCTTTAGATACAGTATGAATTACCAATCTGGACATACTGAGCACATATATTTATGTTCAGAGGAGAATTTTAACACTACCAGTCCCTGGCAGATGTACATTTACTTTCTAACATGTAGGAAAAAAAACAGAAAATAAGTATAACTAGATCTACCAGAGGTAGACTTGCTCCGACAAGTAAACCACCCCTGTAAAACTCAACTCTGGTATACCATGGTAAAACCAGAGTAAAGGTGAGTGAAGGACTTTGAAATGCTGTAACAAAATAAAGCAGTGTAAAACTGGATTATAAGTCGGAAAAGGGACCAGGCAGATGTACCTTTTAAACTTTCGGTAATGGTAGTCACGTTTCAGATAACTGTTCCTGAGCATTTTTGAACTCTGTTTCACATACTGTATATGACAAGCATACAGCACCCAATTTCTACCTTCTAAATAGCCTCGTCACTTTTTGTGCTACTACAACTGGTGACAGAGCTCTTACTCCGACTTGCACTCTTTGTACTTCAAAACATTTCTCAGAACATGGCCATCCTTTAATCTACTCTGGGTACTCAGTTGACAGATCATAGTCTGTAAGATCATGGAATATGAGAGTTATCAACCTAGAGGGCCGTTATTCTTGGAATCAAGTCAGTGCCTGCTAACCTGTGCATAAACAATACAAAGATACACACAACATCACAACATTACCGATACATTTTACAGTACCTTTATATTAATTTGCTTCACCTCAATTATGATATTTTTTTTGTGTTTGAAGAGACATCGTTGCTGGGACAGAGGTGACAACATTAACCTTCGCCAAAATAGATCAATATGCAGTACTTCATGCCACACAATAATTTAATCTGCTAAAGAAACGACTACAAAATTATCAAAGTCACATGCATCAACAAAATGAAGGAGGTTGCTAGTGAATGGGGTGACAAAAGTAACAAAGTTTTGCCTTTTTCTTGTACACACACTTGAAGTTAGTAAACAGTCAATAAGCGAAATAAGCAACAATATACAACTACATGTATTTCTTATCGTAAACAAATTTAGCAAACAAAAAACTCTCATACTAGCAAATGTTGCAGAATCTTTGTTGTGCAAAAGACTTGCCGAACTTAACACAAACGTACAAACACATCAGTACATTAGAAATTAACACAAATCACAGCCTTGCTGTGTCACTGCTTTGCTTACTCACCAGACACCCTGATCCATCCTTGGTGTTGACTTTGCGACAGATAAAACATCAAATTTTCCATTCTCTCCTTGACTGAATCCATTTTTGACGTCTTGCGGCCGAAATAACAGTGTCCGTTAGCGAACTGGACAATCTCCACCTCTCATAACCCTCCGACTCGAGATTACGTCCGAAACGAGCAGCGACAACTTCACTTCAGAAAAACCTAAACGATGTGCTTATATATACCTCAACGCCAGATGCAGTACTCTAGTCTGAGTACTGACTGTTACAAGGAGAAATATATATATATATTTACAAAAGATTTACGGTCAGCAGTTTGTGCCGCACTTGTTTGCATTACCGTTTTCTTCCCAGCTAACCGACATAGAAATGTCCTAAAAGTTTTAGTATTGTCGGGGCAGTAAAACAACTTTGTTCCAGAAAGAAACGAGCAACATTCAGTTATTAAGCCGTGTCAATAAAACTGACAGCAAGGTGATGTACAACCTCTGCAGGTATAAGCAGACAAGGTAGTCCGGGTGAATATTAAGAGAGGTGCCAAATATTTAGTCATTTTAAAACGCTGCCTCCGTTTATCTCTAGATAACGGCTTAGCGTCCATCAAAGACACGTGAGGTTAAAATAAGGCTAGACGTACTTGTTAATAATGAGACAATTTATAAAAATGCACCTGTGCAGACAGGGTAAATTAATTCACCTGTTGCCCTCCGTACGCGTAAAAGCATTACTGCTGTTGTTTCAAACCGCAAGGTACTGCACGTACGCCTAAGTACAAGTCGCCCCGTCTCTCACCGAGGGCAGTATTTTTTTTTTTAAATCTCTCCCTCCGAACTGCGGGTAACACTGCGCTCCCAACCGCCCAGACTGGAAGCGAGCCGCAGCGTGACTGACACCAGCTTCCACCACAGAGACGGGGCGCTTCCGCGCAAGGCAGTTAAGTGGGCGTTTCAGCTGGCGGAGAGCGGAGACCGGCGGCGGGGCAGGCGAGTGAGACTCCGGGCTCTGGAGGGCTCGACGGTCGGTCGTGCGTCATGTGTCGAACTTGACGAGGAACGTGCGGCAGCCGGACCTGAGCGGTCCCCCACCGACCGCCTCCGGTGCTCCACTGCGGGTTAAATCACTGCAGGGAAGAGCGGTGAAGATAAGATTGCTTAAATACTAAAGAATGCAGGTAGAAAGGCAATCCTATGGCGCAAGCTGTGTCATAAAGGAAACTCCTGTTTAAAGATTTGAATGCGTTGGTTAAACAGGGCAGAAGTTCGGAAGTTAATAATAATAATGTCATGTTTTGTCCTTGTATACCTTCAGCGATGAGAATCAACTTAACGTCAATACACATTGCATACTGTACTTAGATCTGATAAGTCAGTTAAGAACGGAAAATCGTTTAAAATGATAACCTGGCCAAGACAAGCTTCACACATTATAGCACAGTAAAAAAGCACTCGTAGAAATCGTTTAAAATTTAAATAAAAAGAGAGGAGTTGGGCCATAAGGCAGTAATTGATCTTGAAGGGTTAAATCTGTTATCAGTAATATAGGTTACTGCAGGGTTCAGTTTCTGGTGTGCTGTCTGCTCACGCTTCCTCCCACAGTTAAAAAACACAGTTGCGGCTTAATTGGCTTCTGGGAAAAACTGGCCCAGGTGCAAATGTGCGTGTGCCCTGTGAAAGACTGGTGTCCTGTCCAGGCTGTATTCTTCCTTGCACCAGTTGCTTGCTGATATACTGTAGGCTCTGGCTTCCCCATGACCCTATATTGTATAAAGCAGTTAAACAATGGATGAAAAGGTGAACCTCAGAATCAGTATCGTGAGGTATCAGTACATTTCCATGGTTGAAATATGTTTGGAAAATACAGAGTGGCACATCACAGGTTATCTATAGCTACATTTGTGCATAAAAAAATATACATCAAAATAGCATATGTAGTTCTGCAGTATCTGAGTGTTATTTGTATCTTCTCCATTAGGACATGTCCATAAGGACATCGCTGAAAGTTGTACGCTATTTTTACAGAGCAAAACAGAAGGTTTGCCATCGATGTTTTAAATCTCCACACTGATGTCCTGTAAGTTACTGTGAAGTCCCACCAGCTGCCGCTGTGAGATAAGAGGAATGTGAGACAAATGTGAGATCCTGCCAGAGACTTTCCAGCTAACCCACCTTTGGAAGACACATCTGGGTAACTGAGACCCTAGAACTCACTTACAGCTTCTCTTGGTGACCAGTAATGGTTATTATAGTGCTGAAAGTGGTGTTCCATGGCACCAATCTGACCCCTGGGCGGAGTGGTGGCACTGTGGCTAAGGATCTGCATCTGTGGCTGGAAGGTTTCTGGTTTAAATCCCACTCCATTGGGCTCCTGAGCAAGGCCCTTAACTCCAGCTGCTCCAGGGGCACCATATACAGGTAAATAAATGGCTGACCCTGCGCTCTGACCCCAAGCTTCTTTCTCCCCGTCTGTGCGTCTCATGGAGAGCAAGAAGGGGTATGCGAAAAGACAAATTCCTAATGCAGGAAATTGTATAAGGCTAATAAAGTGATCTTATCTTATCTCAAGATATCTCACTTCTGCAACCATGAGTGATAACTCTGAACCCAAATGAGCACTGTTCGCACATGTATAGTATCTGCTCTAAGACGACACACTGAGTCGCATAACTCCATCAGGTAAGCTTTTAATTGTATTAATTAGGCAATTAGGAGCTGAAATCCTGGAATGATTCTGTGTTGGGGAAAAAATGTGAAGCCGTTTGATCAGAGGGGGGAGTGTGGAGTCTTTGGTGTCTGGCAGTTAATTATTTTTGAAAAGGAAAAAAAAAAATCTTCCATCTCTTCTGTGATAGCGCCTTTCTCTGTCTTTCCAACAATAGCTTGCTCCATCTCATTTGCCCATCTTTCTGTGTCTGGCAATTGATCTGTCTGTTTATTCATCAGCCTTTTATTAGCTGAACACCAGGACATGTACCTGAGAGGAAGGCTGCATTTCTATAATTACCCCCAGGACTCAACAACAACTCTTCGTGCATGTTTCCCGTAGAGAGTTTAAAAACACTTAAAAGATTTCTCACAGTGAGGTAAAAATACACAGTAATCAATGGAACCGTCAGACCGAGCTCAAAAAAAAATTCATCAATTTCCCTGAGATAAACCCACTTGGTTTCCTAAACATAAAAGCTTTCTGAACTCAAATTGCAAAGGAAAGTAACCAATTCTGCCACTTTATTTAAAGTGGGTTATAAACGGAGTGATTTATTGTATCCGTTGTCTGGGATTTACGTCAACATGCCTAAAATGTATTCTGAACAAATATACTTGAGATGGTTTCTAAAAGATGAGACGTAGAGTGGATGCATAATATCAGGAAAGCAAGTGTAACCTTAAACTACAAAAGAGAAGATGATTTAATCAGAACCCAAATTCTGTGACATTGATAGTTGTATCATTGAATATGTACAGTAACTGCTTTTTCTTCCCACAACATTAAGGAAAATATCAATGGACAATCTGTACAGCACTGCTGTCGTTTTCAGCACTCTGTAAATACCCATCACCAGCTCATTTGACCATTCAATTCACATGGACTTGATTCGAAGCAACCCACTAGTGTTAGACAAAAGCGGGCGTCACTGTACATGGACAAATCACAAGGTTGCGAATGAAACAGCTGCCTGATGAAGACCGACACCTATGATTTATAATCGGCCCAAGTAAAAAGAGCCAAATTTACAGATAGAAGAAAAAAACAGTAATATGACAGAAATTTGTGTGAATATTGTTGAGCTTCAGAGTTGCCACATCCGGTACAGTATGCGATTAAACCAACACTCAGTTTGCCTATGGGTAAACTTCCTTTTCTGAGTCTGTTCTTTAGAAAGAGGCGGTCAGTAGTTTGTACAATGCATATTCTTGTTGCATTCTATATTCAAAGGCAAGCACAAGAAGCATGATGTTCTATTTGTGCTCAGTGGTCTATTATTGCTAAGAACAAATAAAAAAGAAACAATAAAGGAAAGCTTTTTTTGGGGGGGTTGAGTGCTGGGCATTTCATATTCTGCATATTCATATTTACTGCATTTAATATTCCAAAGAGTACAGCAGTTCTGTCTTTGCAGAATTGTTTGGTGTGTGATCCTGGAACGATGCAAAAATGGGGGAATTCTTATTTTTTAATTCGTTTTTAATTTTTTCCCCCCCAATGAGTACCAGTGACCACTGAAACACACTTGACAGATCATATTGTAATGCACTTCGACCTATTCAGAACTATCAATAGCATTGTAAAGTTCTTCAAAGACTTAAGTGTAGAACTACAGTACATGGACAGTGCACACCAGCTTTGGTCATTTCAGGCTTTAAAAGTTGTAGCCTCTTGGATGTCAGACCGCATGAGGTGCTAAATATTTCAAGCCTGTTAACTTATTTAAAATTGCACTGAGTGATGTATGAAGCTACATGTTAAATATAACACTTTCTTATTTATGTATGAGTTCAGGGGGGCTGCAGCTTGTAAAAGACGGAATGGATCAAACTGCTATGGAATAGGAGCCTTGTTCCTTTTTTATGTATTATAATTTAATACTCCGCTCCCTGGGAGTGTTTTTTCATGTTATAATCTTGAAGGTTTAAGTCTGGGTGTACACCTGTATGTGGGACTATATTTCACGTAGGATTACATATTTGGATTTTATATGTAAATAGGTCATGCTGTTGTACATGCAAAATTTATACTCACACAATACATTCTTTGTACTGTATGTGTAATTGTTAGGTTAGCTTGCAGATGTTTTTAATTACTATTACCACAAATTTTCTAAATTAATGGGTGGAGTGGTGGCCCTGTGGCTGAGGATCTGTGCCTGTGTCTGGAAGGTTGCCGATTCAAATCCCGTGGCTGTCAGAGGAATCCTGATCCGTTGGGTCCCTGAGCAAGGCCCTTAACCCGAACTGCTCCAGGGGTGCTGTATAAATGGCTGACCCTGCGCTATGACCCCAAGCGTCTCTCTCCCTGTCTGTGTGTCTTATGGAGAGCAAGCTGGAGTATGTGAAAAGACAAATTCCTAATGCAAAAAATTGTATATGGCTAATAAAGAGATCTTAAAAAAAAGTATTTGTGTTTTGAAATTAAGGTTTCAATTAGATTGAAGTGTTTAGCATCATATGACTGAGAATAGTCGCTGTGTCTGAAATATTTTCAGCTTTTCTTTGGTGAAGATTTCTTTTCTGTTTTTCTCAGACAGCTTTGAAATGTTATGCAGATCGGAAGATTGGTCTGGAAGACAATAAAAATACAATTTCATAATTGGATCACACCTTTTGCAGCTTCAAACGGCAAAGTCCTCCGTTGTTTATCAATTCAATATGCAGAAGAAATAACCTTGGTCTACGCTGACTGTGACAGGTGTCTCACCACCTTTGGTCAGAGTGCTGATGGATTGCTTAGGTACCCATCACCAATTCACGAACTTCGAACTGACAATCTCTTTTCCAGACACCAAAACATTCCCTAAGCACATGGTACATTTTAATTTGGATTGGTAACCTTGTCATATTCCTGACAGGTGTGAAGCTTTGGCCAATACTGCTATTTCAGAGATTTAGAGCTGTCCAATGACTTTACGAGGCCCGTAAAAGTCTAAGATGCACCAAATCCCACAAGAGATCCATTAAGCAGATCCCAAGCTTGAACACTGCATATATGAAGGAATGGCTGTGTAACCCTGGATGTGAAGGGGTTGGTAACTGAGCTGTTGCTTGTTGTGGTCCACATGGCACTGGGCAGAAATATTACCCAACGCAACACATTCTATCAGAGCTAAGCATCAATAACACCCCTGATCATCATATTTCTTTCATCCGTTTCAGTCCAATTAAACAACACAGTTCTAGGCATCATTAAAAGCGAGCAAAACCTTGGTTCATTAGAGAAAACGACCTCTCTCCTTTTTCCTTGTCCAAGGTTACCTGCATCTGCTATGCAGTG